TAAAGCAGGGTATTTGACTCATAGGCACTAACCAATTGGAATTAGTGTCAGATTCCACAAGTTAAAGGCTTAGTCTTCCATAACAATGCCCTCACTTCAGGCATAAATCCAGGCTGGACTTGAACCTCAATCCTCCTGATCTCTGCCTCCCAAGTAGCTAGGATTACAGGCGTGAGCCGTGACATCCAGCCAGAATTATTAATCTCTTAAACTATGATTTACATGCATCACTGGTTTCATACTACATTTGTTGTATCTGCTGTAAGATTTCACTAATGCAACAACAAAGAATCCTCTTTTTACTGTGTCACACACCTGGTGATCATTGTGCCAGGTGCATACCCAACCCAGGCAAGGTGCAGGTGGCTCACACCTGTAATCCTAGCTACTCAGGAGGCAAAGATCAGGAGGATAGTGGTTCAAAGCCAGCCAGAGTCAAAAAAAAGATCCTATCTCAAAAATACCCAGCACAAAAATGGGCATGGTGAAGTGGCTCAAGTGGATAGAGTGCCTGCCTAGCAAAATGAAGCCCTGAGTTTAAACCCCAGTACTGCCAAAATAAATAAGTTGAAATGGTTAACTTAGCTAGAGGAAAGCCATTAATCAGGTGTAGAGGGGAGCTATTAATCAAGTGCTATTTTTAATTTCCTTGCTGAGGGAGGTTTAGGAGGGAGTCTGGTTCTCATAAAGTTAAAAGAACAGAAGGAACCAAACTAGGATATGGTCAAATGATTGTGTGGCTTGTGTTGGTTGTGTTCATTCATACTCATAGATAATAACCATTGTCTCGTTTCTGTACCTTAGCTAATAGCCATTTTCTCGCTTCTGTACCCAGGCTTGCTTGCTTTGCAAAGATTGCCAGGGATTTTTGCCTTATAAACCCTGCTAAAAGTTGGAACCGGGCTGCTCTCTGCGACTCAACAACCTGTTGGTTAGAGCAGTCTCCAGCTGGCTAATAGACTCTCCTTTAAAATCTTTCTTGGGTGGTCGTGCCTCAGTTGACTTGTAACAAAATGAATAAATAAATTAAAAAAATAGATCCTTGCTTAAGAAGTTTTGATCATTGTATTTAAATACTGTCATTTTATTGACTTTACTTTGTTCTGAGAATGTGATAGGAAGAATTGGGAGAAACAGAAGGTTTCTCCAATTTAAATTGATACCTTTTTCAAACAAAAATTTAATTTTTACAGAACAAAGAGGGATTCATAAGGTCACCAAATTTAAGAGGGTACCCCATCCCAGTTTTTAATCCTATTAGTGAAGGTTAATTTTTAAAAATCTATTGTTTTCATACTGGAAAATAATAAACTCTATTTGAATCTCCTCTAAAATATAAGAGCCCTTCTGGAAAAAAAAAGTTTAAATTTTATTTCATTTTATTTTTGTGGTAGTGGGGATTGGATCCAGGATCTCCAGCTTTCTAGGCAAGAGCTCTACCACTAGAGTTATGCACACACCACTGTTTTCTTTTTCTGGGGAGGAGGTGGTATTGGGGTTTGAACTCAGGGCCTCACGATTGCTGGGCTCTTGCTTTTTTTTTTTTTTTGCCCAGGCTGGCTTAGAACTATGATCTTCCTGATCTCTACCTCCCGAGTAACTAGAATTACAGGCGTGAGCCACTGACATCTGGCTATGTATTCTATGTATTCATTTTATGGATTTACAAACATTATTGTGAGTAGGGATCCATGGTGAAAAAAAGGTTAACAACCCCTGCTTAATAAATTGTTTCCCTAACTTCCCAAAGGTGATGCTTGGCTTGGGTGTTGAATCATCTCTTGGTTTCAAATCCACCTCTTTGTGTCCTCAGTGGGAGGGGCTCTGGGAAATTTGCTCCCAAAGCAGCTGTGTGCAAGGCATCAGATAAAGAAATATCCCAGGGGTACAGAATTAACCACTTGCAGGTTGACTACAGACAGTGGGCTGAGAGCAGAGCACATTCATATACTGACAAAAGTAGCTGAGGGCTGTATGGCTTAACTCAGAATGTCTCATGATACCTATCATCCTAGCCACAGCCAGCTGGACCAAGCAATTCACTGCTATCTCTCTGCCTTAGGAAGAGACAGGCAGAGCTTGCCAAATAGGCCTTTCTCAGTGAATAGCAACTAATTGACCCAATCAGATCCTGTCTCTTGGAGAGTTTGCATTTGAGTCAGCAATTGAGAAGACCAGCAGTGGTGACAGACATTAAAGAAATGGAGCCAAGAGTAGAGATTTGCTAAGTAAGGGTGGCCTTCCACCCCACTTTTCCAGAGATCTGGCCCTGTGACCCTGTCACTTTTGCTTCCTACCACCTGGAAAAGCTCCAACAGCTCCCAGTCTGTAGAGGGCCAGGGGTCCCCGGCTGCCTAAGGCTCACAGCAGAACAGGAGACATACAGAGACTCAAAATGAGGACATTGGTAGGGAGGAAGCTTTCTCCTCAGTCTCCCTAGTCTGACCTCCTCCTCCTGGCCTGTGAATAGGTCTCCACCTCTTTTGTCCAGTGCCAGAACCCTGGTAACTTTTAATGTCCTTGGAGGTCCATTTTCAAGGATTTACAACACGCTTGGCTGCTCGTAAAACAGAGCCAGTGTTGCTCCTGGAGGGGAGGAGGAACAGGTGGCAAGTGGGCAGAGACAGAGGAAGCATGGGGGAGAGGCCTGTAACCTGATTCCCTTGGTTCCTCCATGGCTAGGCTCCTCCTCTTCTTCTGGGGCCTGCACTCCCCTCCTCTCTAGAGTTCTCCATGGAGTCAATCCCTGTCAGGAAACAGTTTCAGCTGCGACTACAGACTACATCCACATCTCACTTAATCTTAACAGTGTGTTAGAAATTAGGAAAGAGGCTCAGAGTCTGATACCTGCAGTAAGAAATGAAGAGTCCAGCTGGGCACTGGTAGCTCATGTCTGTGATCCTAGCTACTCAGGAGGCAGAGATTGCAGTTCTAAACCAGCTCCAGCAAATAGTTCATGAGACCCTGTCTCCAAAAAACCCATCATAAAAAAGGGCTGGTGGAGTGGCTCAAGATGTAGGCCCTCAGTCCCTCAGTTCAAACTCCAGTACTGCAAAAAAAAAAAAAAGAAAAAGAAAAAAAGAAATGAAGAGTCCAAGCCAGGCATGGTGGCTTAGGCCTGTAAACCCAGCTGCTTGGGAAGTGATCAGGATTATGGTACAAAGCCAGTGGGGCAAAAAGTTAAGCTGGGCATGGTGGTGTATGCCTGGGCTCCCAGATATATGGAAGGCTTAGGAAGGAAGATTATGGTCTAAGGCTGGGCCCGGGTAAAAAATTTGAGACTTTATCTGAAAAATAAAGCAAAAAAAGGGCTAAGTGTGTGGCTCAAGTGCCAGCAAGTTTAAGCCCCAGTACTGCCAAAAAAAAAAAAAAAAAAAGGAAGAAGGAGGCGCGTGCCTATAATCCTAGCTACTTGGGGGGATTAGAGTTTGAGACCACCTGGGCAAAATGTTCGTGAGACCCCCATCTTCAAAAAACTGGAGCAAAAAAAGAAGAAATGAAGAGTCCAAGTTGGTTATGGTGGTGCTTGCCTATTATCTCAGCACTAGAGAGGCTAAGGCAGGAGGCTAAGGCAGGTTAAGGCCTGCCTAGGTTACAAAGTAAGACCTGTTGAAAGAAGAAAGGAAGGAAGGAGGGAGGGAGGAAGGGAGGGAGGGAGGAAGGAAGGAAGAAAGAAAGGCCAGATACTGATGGCTCACGCCTGTAATTCTAATTACTCAGGCAGCAGAGATCAGGAAGATGGCAGTTCAAGGCCAGACTGGGCAACAAAAGCAAGCCCCTAGCTCAAACACACACACACACACACACACACAACCTAGTGGAGTGGCTCAAGAGGTAGAGCACCTGCCTAGCAAGTGTGAGACCCTGAGTTCCAACCCCAGTCCCGCAAGACACAAAATAAAAAAGCAAGAAAACAGAAAAGAAATGGGGAGTCTGTTCTTAGTAGGCTCTATGAAGCCGTACAGAAGGCTGGGGATGTATGTTAGTGCAGCTCAGTGGTCAAGTGTTTGCCTAGCATGTGCAAGCCCCTGGGTTCTTTATTTACAAACAACAATAAAAATCCTGCATACCTGGGCATGTTTACAGCCCCTTGCCAAACTGACATACTTGCTTCCCCAGCACATATCCTCTCACCTCCAAGTTTGTACCTAATGCTGTCCTGGTTAGAATACTCTAGGATGCCCTGGTGAGCTATGAGTCAACCTTTAAGATTTAGGGAGGTAAGAGCTGTGACCTAATTGTCTCTGTTAGCCCTTCCCATAGGGACTGGACATGTAAGGAGCTAATAAGTATATGAAAGGGACCCATGCTCCCTTTCACTAAATTATAGGATCCAGATGGCCTCAGGATGAGAATCTCCTTGTCCAGTTCTTGGCTAGAAAGCAGGTGCAACCGAGAACCCCTGAGGGCATGTGTGGCCTTCTGGGTTCCAGTCATTGACACTAATAGGTTTATTCAATCACTGACAATACACAACAGGCCGGTTATGGTCTAAACTCTATGCCAGGTGCTGGGAATTAAAGATGAATGGAGAAATTAACTGAAAGGATAAAGTTGAACAAATACTTAAAGAACACTCTAAAAATCTGCAAACGAAAAACAACAGAGTTTAATCCGTGCTTCCGTTCAGGTGTCCCGGAGTAGAGGGGCTTGGCCCCACGTTTTCCCAAGGTGAAGATTTGAGGTGGATTAGATCTATAATCCTCAAATGGGGTGTCGCTTTCAGGAAGGCGTGAGGCCTGAATCCTAACCCAGATGCACACCTGGACCTATTGTTTCCTTAATTCCCCGTATGGGATCCGGGAATTAGTGGTCTACTTAGCAGCACACTAGCTGTCAAGTGGCCCTAGGACACCCCGAGACGATTCTCCCCTGACCCAGGAGATCCACTTAGACATGGGCTCCTTAGATGGGCATCTTAAGGAGGGTCTCAAGTGACCTTCTTAGAAGGTGAGACCCCTTTAATAGGAGGAGACGGGGGGGGGCGGAGGCTAGTGACCACGGATGGGGAGGGGGAGCTAGGGCGTCACAAATCCTAAACCCAGAACAGACCTGCCAGCCAGGCCGCGCTGACCCGCCCAGCGCGGGACTGGGGCTGAGCTCCCACGAGCAGCGCCGCTGGGCCCCGCCCCCCAGAGTGCGGGCGCTGATTGGTCAGCGCGACCGCAGGGCGGGGCCGAATCGTGAAAGTCTGGGAGCTAAGCAAGCCGGGAGGAGTCGGTGGTGGCTTCGAAACCCCGGGAGGTGATGCCACTAGGCCCCATATGAGTTTCCTTAAAAACTCTCTAATGCCCTAACTCTAGTCCCAGGATCATGGAGCCCACAAGAGACTGTCCACTGTTCGGGGGAGCCTTCTCTGCCATCCTCCCCCCTGGGGCCATTGATGTAAGGTGAGAGCCCAGGCACCAGTGGATCCCGATCAGGTGGGTGGTGGAAAGAAGCCAGGGTCAACAAAGGTCTGTCTCGCTTCTCTCCAGCGATCTCCGGCCGGTCCCGGACAACCAAGAAGTTTTCTGCCATCCCGTGACTGACCAGAGTCTGATAGTGGAACTTCTGGAGCTGCAGGCCCACGTGCGGGGCGAAGCGGCTGCGCGGTGAGGACGCGGCCCTAGGCTGGCAAATGGGAGGGCCGAAGCCGAAGTGGGCGGGGCCTATGGCTGGACTGTTTTGGTGTTTTAAGGACGAGAACTCCAAGTGCAATCAATACCCTACCGCCAGAAGTGAAACCTGGGACTTAAACGTGCTCAGGGGTGAGGGTGGGGCATTGAGAGGCTCTGACCCTGCTCTCCCATCCCAGGTACCATTTTGAGGACGTTGGTGGGGTGCAGGGGGCTAGGTCCGTGCACGTGGAGTCTGTGCAGCCCCTCTGTTTGGAGAACCTTGCCCTGAGAGGCTGCTGTCAAGAAGCCTGGGTCCTCTCTGGCAAGCAGCAGATAGCTAAAGAAAATCAGCAGGTGAGGGCCAGGGAGTGTGGGATGACCTGGAAGGGGGCCAGAGGCTCTAGAGATTCAGATAAGCATCCTGACTTTGATTCTTGTAGGTAGCAAAGAATGTGACACTGCATCAGGCCTTGCTGCGGCTGCCCCAGTACCAGACTGATCTCTTGCTCACCTTCAACCAACCCCCGTAAGGAGGAAGGAAAGAGCAGAATTCTCATCATTGGGTCTCCAGGACAATTAGGCTGGGTGGGCAGAGCAGAGAGGTTGGCTGGTGGAGGCAGAAGTGGGCCAGAGGCTTGGGGTTACAGACACCTGGGTTCTCTGGGGACCAGGAGGTGGAAACTTCCAAATCTCAATCCTGAATGTTCTTTCTTCCTCTGTTTTCCCACCCCTAAGCTCTGACAGGTCACCTCTTGGGCCTGAAAATCTGTCACCCCCACCCTGGAGCCTGGGAAACTTTGAACAACTGGTGGCCAGTGTGACCCTTCATGATCCCAACATCTTTGGACCCCAGTAAAGGCCCTGAAGTACTGTGTGATGCTACATGATGAATTTAGGGACCCAGTTCTGGAAGGGAGAAAGAGAAATCGAATACCTGGATTTCCTCTTATTTCTTCGCTGTGCATAAACATAAGACACCTCCTCTCTGCAGAAAATAAACTTGCTTTATAACCAATATAATTTCTGTGCCTTTGAATCTACAGGACACCTGGGTCTCCCCAATTCCCTTTGGTCTTGGAGGGAAAAGTGTAAAGCTGTGCATCGGTGCAAGAGGGACCAAGGCTGGCAGTGGAAAGAGGAAAGAAATACACTTTGGAGTGACTGATTCAGCCCTGAGAGAGGGGTCTGAAGTGTACAAGGGGTAGAGTAGGAAGGTTAAAGCAACACCTAGGAAGAAAAGAAAACTAGTTTGTAGTGATTCAACCCTGAGAGAACAGATAGAGTGGGGTTGACTGTCCCCCTTGGATGGATGAAAAGTCACATGATCAGTAGTCACCAAGACATAATAGTGGAAGCAGAAGTGTCCAAGGAGTGTTGGATTGGTGGCAAGTGGGAGAGTGGTTATTTAGCGTACGTGTGATAGAAGAAGCGCAGCTGGTCCCAAAAGAAGAGGGAGAGGATGGTGTGGGGGCCCAAGCGGAAATAGGAAGCACCTATACCCTTGTACATGCCCAAAATGCCCTCTGTCCGAGCTGTCTGCAGCAGAGCGTCCAGGATTCCCCGGTACATGAGGCCCTGGAGCGTGTTGGAGGGGGAAGGAGCTGGTCAGAGCCCACCAGGGGCTTCACCTCTGCAGGCTGCATTTCAGGCTGTCCCACCTGCAACCACAATCTGCTTCACTCACCCCCCAGCTTTCCCTGCCTGCCTGTACCCCAGAACACTCCCTTACCTTGCCCTGAGCATCTGTGGGCTGGTTATAGAGCCTGGTGCTGGCTACGTCAAAAGGTGTCATGGCCAAGACTACTGCAATGCCACTCACCATGGCAGCTGCTAGAGCCACCTTCCAGCTCTGGGCAGGAAAGATCTACAAGAGAGAAAGAGTTTTGTCAGCCAACCATTCAACCCCTAGGGTAAGACAGGCCCTGCTTCCATTCCACCAGTTATAATGAAGTATGAGAACACTGTGACATATGAATAAAATTTAAAAAAAAAAAGTAGGTGCTCTACAAACATACACATATACACAAAATACCTAAGATGATGAATATGTTCATTTACTTGACTATACATAGTGAAATAAATGAAAACATCTTTTGTACCCTTAAAAAAAAAGAACACTGTGAAAGGGGAAGGCCAGTGTGGCCTGAGGGCTCCTGTACCCTTGAGAGGAAATGACAAGAGAGTCTAAGGGGCAATGACCTTCAAACCCTTCTACTGCAACTCTACATCTGAATGGTAGCACCATCCCCTCCAGGACCCAACCTCCCTTTGCCCCCTCCCCCATTGCCTCTTTCCGAGGGATGGTCCCACCCCCTTCCCAGGCAGTACCTCCCACTGGCTCAAGAGGTCCTTGGTGGATGAGAACGTACACAGCTGGGTGGAGGAACCGACGATAACTCTGGGCAGGCCGCCCAGGGCCCCACGCCACAACCCCACCAGACCATGTTTCTGGCCAATCTTGGTTAGTGCCTGAAACATGCCCTGATGGGGGGAAGATCACAGGGATGGGGTTCAGTTATCCTGGCATCAGAGGCTGCCACCTGCTAACACTGTCAGGGACCAATACTTAACACACACCTGTTGTCCAGACAACCAATTCAACGTGAGCTTCGAGTCAGAATATGGGCCCTCAGTTGTCTGCCACCCCTTGTCATCCCAGAGTTGTAGATCAAGAGGATGGGGCAGGAGAAACAGGGGCAGAAGATTCGAGGAACAAGGTAGAGTGGGCTTCAGGGGTAGTGTGGGACTGAATTGATAGGCTGGGCAGAGCAGTGGCCAGAGTCAGAGTGACTGGGGGCAGGCAGAAAACTGGAAGGAAATGGGAGAGAATGGTTGGGCACTCTGATGGTTTGGGGAACCCTCACCTGATGCTTATACTGGTGTCCTACAGCAATTTCAGAGGCTGCCTGTGCCTGTAGGTGTGTCTTCACCTACGGACAAGAGAGTAATACAGTCTATGTCCCAGTGGCCATCCTCTCCTCAGAGATTGCCATCCCCTCCCCCCATACTCATACTTCTTCCAGGGTATTAAGCAACGAATACCCCTTTAATCTGATAATTATTGTTGTTCCCACTTAACAAATTGGTCATGAGACTCTGTGTCCCTTGGCTCCAATCCCAGAGGACAGATCTCCTAGCACTGCAAGATACACCACCCTCCTCCACATCCTCTTTCCCTCGGGGCTGGGGTAGGGGTGGAGAAGTTGGAGAATGGCAACATTTCCTAAGACTTCATGTTAGGCAAGACCTGGATGTCCAGCCTCTTCTGCCAGCTCCCATTCCCAGGTCCTATCTCCAGCTATCACCTCAACCAGGCTCCCTGCCAGACTCTGGCCAAAATGTGCTCTCTGGCCCCCAGGATCCATAGGAATATATGTTCAACTGACTTTGAAGAGACCACTGTCCCTGAATCTCACACCTTGGGAGTAAGACCAACTTGGATCTTCTACAGAACAAACTGCCACCTACTCTTTTAGCTGCACTAAGCACGGCCTAGTCCCGGTAATAAGCAGCTGTGTGACCTTGAGCCGGTCACTTCCTCTCTCTGGGCCTGAGGCTCCCAACCTTTCACCTACATCTGGTAACTCTAATGAGTAGGCTGAGATTGTAATTCTGTGATGTGTAGGACTTTATTGATCACTATACTCGCTGATGTATGTTACTCAAATTCCTCATCCTCCCTGTACAAATCCAACCTCAGTATCAGGGAATAATCACAAAACAATGAAAGCAGTACTATCAAATGTGCTAAGATTTGTGCTAGTGTTTTACATGTTACCTCAATTGTCTCCCTAAATCCTTCCCATAATCACACAGAAAGGGCACGGGCACTGCAATTATACCCATTTTACAGATTGGCCAACTGAATCTCCACAATGAGTTTTTTTTTTTTTTTTTTGCAGTACTGGGGATCGAACCTAGAGCCTTGTGCATGCTAGGCAAACACTCAACCACTGAGCTACACCTCAGCAACAATTAGAGAAATTTTAAGCCAGGAGTTGAGTTCCAGGAAGACTGATTCCAAAGTCCATAATCTTCATCAAGAAGTTTGACCGTGTGCATTGGATGGGTGTGTGTGTACAGGGCAGATCAGAAGGCCCTAAAACCTCCTAGTATTTTCTCAGTGCCCTTCCCTGCTTGCAGGGGGACAACACCTTGCCACCAATACCCCTGTGGAGGTCGAGGCTCCCACCTTCCACCAAGGGTCTGTCCTGAAGGCCCAGGCAAGACCCCTCTCCTTACCATATAGATGGGGCTCCCCAGATAGGCTCCCATGACCCCAGCCAGGGCCCCAGCTGCTGCGCTGCGGACAGGATTGAGGGTGCCATCAGCTGAGTGCAAGTAGCCCCTCGCCTCGGCCAGCCCATAGGTGCCCAGTCGGATGCCATTCATCAGGAACTGGTACAGGAGTGCAGGCGCCAGGCCCTTCTGCAGGGCAGCTAGACCATCCACCTTGCCGATGGTGAAGAAGGCGTGGAAGACGTTTCGATAGTGCCGCCTGTAGGTGCCGGGGGCCTGCAGTTCTCCCTGCAACTGCATTCTGGTCTTCACAACCTCCAGGGGATTGGTGAACACACAGGCCCCGCAGGCTGCCAGACCACTCATCAGGAAGTCCATGGTGAGGCAGCAGGAGGCTCAGAAAGGGGGAGGGAGGATTCTGGAGTCAGAGGAAGACCTCAGCTTCTGCAGACCAGGCTGAGAGGGAGCAACTTGGAGGTTTAAAGTCAAGTGTCAGGGTCAGATGTCAAGGAGTGGAGGGTTAGCTGGAATTTGGAAATCAGAGGTTGGCAAAGAGGGGAGAGAGAAGAATGTAGGAGAATCTGGCGAGGTTATGACAGGAGGGACTTGAGGGCAAGGAGGGGTAGAAGTCAGACGGTGGCAGATAGGATGCACGGGATGAGGCCAGGGAGTCGTGATAGGAAAGCTGGAGAGACAGGAAAAAGAAAACCAGCAGAAGGAAAGGAACCTAAAGACCCGATGGTGTCTCCAAGACAGCAGCGGGGACTGGATCGGGACGGAAGTAGGGACGCTGGCCTGGGGTACGCGTCCCAAAGTAGCTACCTGCTCCTGAGCACCTTCGCCCGGGGGTAGCCTTCAGAGGCCGGGCGGCCACGCTTCAGTCACTGGAGCGCCGCGCCAATGGGGGCCCTCGGGAGCTGCTGCCCCAGAGCCTCAGCCAATCAGTGCAGAGCCAGGTCCCTGGCCAATGGGAAGAGTCCTCGGCGACCGGGCCCCCGGTATCAGCCAAAAGGCGGTAGGAATTAACTCTTCCCGCCCGGGTCCTAGGGCCCCGAAGGCGGATGCAGGCTCTGCGATGGTTCCCCGGGCGCGGAGGCTTTCTCACCAGCGGGGACGAAAGTTGGACCATGGGGTCTGGGACAGATGCACATGCTGAGCGCAGAGGCAGCATCTCCTCTTGTCGGCAGAGGAGCTGTTTCAGGTCCTCTGTCTCAGGTCATCTCGGGATGGGGTTGCTTAACCGCATCCACGCTCACCTCCGCCCCAGATGGGACACACCTGCTGGACGGGACCCATCTCCTAAGGCTGAATAAAGTGTTCCGAGTTTCTAGCGCCAGGGTGTGGCTGGCTGGCTGCAGGCGCCAAGGGAGGGAGGCCTGTAGGATAACCTGGGAAGAGAGCTTGATCAAATTCTTAAGCTCTTTTGATCCTAACAGCGACCTGGAGAAAAAGGCAAGGGCAGGCCAAAGGCCAAAGGCCAAAGGTTTAGGTTATAGAGAGCAAGCAAGTGATGGAAGATCTTGATTTTCTTGTTTCCTGTCCTTGCTCATGAATCTGGAAGAAAAGAGACCGACTGGGAAGGAGCTGTGAGAGAAGTCTCAAGAAAGAAGGCAGGAGGGGCTTAGGGGATGTCATCTGGGGTAAGAGGAAGAGGCAGAGGGAAGGCTAGCCTTTGTGAGCCCCGGCTACCAGACTTAGAGCATCATCCGATTCCAGTTTGGATCTTCCTGCTTGCCATCTGGATGAGTTTTGGGCAAGTTACTTAACATCTCAGAGCACCCTTGCAAAACAAGTCTGGTAATTTCTATTGCACATACCGCACAGGAAGTTTTGGACTTGTACTAAGTGCTCAATAATCAGCTTTCCTGTAAAGTAAGGAGCTGGCAGACCTGTTCCCACTTCCTGAAGGGTGGAGTTGGAGTGTCCCTATCCCCTTGTCGTGTTATTTCCAAGTCTCTCTGCACCTTGAACACCATCTGACCCAGTAAACCCTTTCCAAATTCTCTACATTCATTCACACCCAGCCTGGTTTGTTCCTCAAACATGTATCCATTTTTCTCATCTCTGTTGGCAATTGTTTATTTCAGGATTTTTTCACTAGTCTGGGAGTTTCTAGATGCACAGGGGTCCAGGTCTGAGTTTTCACTTTTTGTTTAGTTTTTGTTTCTGAGACAGGATCTTCCTATATGCAACCCAGTCTGGCCTGCAACTCAAGATCCTCCTGCTGCAGACTCCAGATTGCTGGAATTATAGGTGTGTCACCAAGCCTGCTGCCCTCACTGTGGGTCTACAATCTGTGTTTTATTAACGCCTCTGTTGTGCTCTAGAATTTTATTTTAGAAGCCCTGCTTAAACCTTTTTTTTTTTTTGGCAGGGGGCAATACTGGGGTTTGAACTCATTGACTCATACTTGCTAGGCAGTTGCTCTACCACTTGAGCCACTCCATCAATCCAAGCCTTTTATCTTTAATACCAGATTCCCTGGAAATAGACAGTTTTTAAAGGTTTAATTTTTAAAAATTAAGTGCAAGTTTTAGAATGATTTTCTGAATATCAAATTGATAATTGTACAGAAAACTTGTAAAGATACTGAGTGTTCTCCTGTATTTCACACCCAGTTTTCTCTATTAACATCTTACATTGATATGATACATTATTATGATTGGCAAACCAATATTCGTACATTGTTATTAGCTTGAAGCCTGGAGATGTAGCTCAGTGGTAGAGTGCATGCCTAGCTTGTACAAAGCTCTGGGTTCAACACCCAGCACTGAAAAAACAAAAAGCTACATTATTATTAATTAAAGTTAATTCTTACAGGGCTCTGATGCCTCCCACCTGTCATTCTAGCTACTTGGGAGGCTGAAATCAGGAGGATGTACAAGCATGCCTAGCTTGTACAAAGCTCTGGGTTCAACACCCAGCACTGAAAAAACAAAAAGCTACATTATTATTAATTAAAGTTAATTCTTACAGGGCTCTGGTGCCTCCCACCTGTCATTCTAGCTACTTGGGAGGCTGAAATCAGGAGGATGGAGGTTTGAGGCCAGCTGGGGCAAATAGATCTCAAGACCTCATCTCCAAAATAACCAGAACAAAACAGATTGGAGATATGGAAGCAGTAGAGCAGAAGCCTTGTAAGCACAAGGTTCTAAGTTCAAACCCCAGTGCTGCCAAGAGGAAAGAGAAAGTTAGTTCTTTATTCAGGTTTCCTTTTTTTTGTGTGTTTAAAGTCCTTTTTCTGAACCAGGATACCATCCAGGATCCCAATTACATTTGTTTGTTGTTGTTGTACTACTGGAGTTTGAACACAGGGCTTTGTGCTTATTGGGCAGGTACTCTACCACTTGAGGCACACCCCAGCCTCCCAGTTACATTTAATTGTCAAATTTCAGACTTCTTTTGGCTCAGACAGTTTTTCAGACTTTCCTTGTTTTTGCTGATCTTGCCCCTTTGGTTTGTTTGTTTGGGATGGAACCCAAGGCCTTGTGCCTTAGCACTCTACCAGTGAGCTGCATCCCCAGCCCAAGTTTTTTGTTTTTGTTTTTGCTTATTTGTGGTCCTAACCCAAGGCCTTGTACATGCTAGACAAGCGCTCTATCTCTGAGCTGCACTCCTACCCTCAGACCTTGACAGTTTGAGCACTGGATAGGTATTTTGTACAATGTCCCTGCCTGGAGGGTTTTTCTCGTGATTGGACTGGGTTATGGTTTGGGACAGGAAGGCCACAGAGGTCATTTTCATCACATCATATCAAGGGTGATACTTGAGACTAGTATCAGCAAGGTTAATCACTGCTGATAATGACCTTGCTTATCTGACTGAGATAGTGTTTGTAAATTTTTTCCATTGTTCAGGTACTCCTTTTTCCCCATTTCCACTCCTACTGTCCTCTTTGGAAGGAAGTCACCAAAGAAGTCGGAAGTTATGCCCCCTACCTCTTTTCTTTCTTTCTTTTCTTTTCTTTTTCTTTTGGTGGTGCTGGGAATTAAACTCAGATAATCATACTATGAAAATGTAAATTTTTTTGGTGGTATTGAGGTTTGAACTCAAGGCTCTCCACTTGCTGGGCAGGTACTTTACTACTTGATCCATGCCCTCAGCCCTCTTTTTCTTTCTTTCTTTTTTCTTTTCTTTTTCTTTTTTTTTTTTTTTAAGACAGTTTCTCACTATGTAGCTTAGGCTGGCTTTTAACTCTCTATCCTCTTACCTCAGACTCTTAAGTGCTGGGGATACAGGCACGCCCTATCACACCCTGCTACTCCTCCTTGAAAGGGGGTTATCTACATAAGCTACTTGGAATTATTTTGAATGGTGTGTTTGTTTCAACTCCCCCATTTATTTATTTATTCAAGCATTTATTTATTTATTTGTTGCAGTACTGGGGTTTGAACATGGAGCCTACACCTTGAGCCACTCCACCAGCCCTTTTTTGTGAAGGTTTTTTTTTTTTTTTTTTTTGAGATTGTTGGGTCCGGAGACCTAAGGCAGATGAGTGAGTATCCCATCCCCCATGGAGAGCACTGTGATTCCTGCATCCTGAGAAGGAGTTGTAAATCTGCATTTCTGCATCCTGAAGAGGAGATACAGGGTCTGATAGATCTGCCACAGGGCTGATGAGCAAAATGCTCTCAAGATTGTTCCTCCCCCCCCAAAAAAGAGGGGAAAGCCCATGAATCCACGGCCAATGAGAAGAGCCCACCTAACCCTTACTCAAACCCAGAGTTAAAACATCCATAAAAGCCCCAGCCTTCACCTGAACAGGAAGCCACTGGTTTCCGGCTCCATTGCACTGCTCTAGCTGTAGCCTTTCCTTTCTGTCTAATAAATCCCACTTTATATACGGGCTTTGGATTCTCATTCAGCTGCCTCACGAGCCAGTTCTCTGGCCTATGACGTAAGGACCCTTGACACCAGCCTGCAACACTTCAAACTGACACGGAACAAGATAAGAGATAGAACTATTTGCCCTGGCTGGCTTTGAACCATAACTATCCTGATCTCTGCCTCCCGAGTAGCTAGAATTACAGGTGTAAGCAACTGGCGCCCAGCTTCAAGCATTTTTTTTTTTTAATCACTGTAGACTCATGGATGACTATTTTATATTTTGGGTTAAAATCCAATGTGCTTTGACTACTGTCTCTCTCTCTCTCTCTCTCTCTCTCTCCTTTTTTTTTTTTTTTTTTTTGTGGTACTGGGGCTTGAACTCAGGACCTACACCTTGAGCCACTCCACCAGCCCTTCTGTGATGGGTTTTTTGCAGATAGGGTCTCAGGAACTATTTGCCTGGGCTGGCTTTAAACTGTGATCCTCCCAATCACTGTCTCCTGAGTAGGTAGGATTACAGATGTGAGCCCCCCCACCCCTCTCGCACCCAGCCTATGAAAGTTTTTTTAGCGTTAATATATTTTATTGTGCTTATCTATGCCAATCTTATGTGTCCCAAACACACTGCAGATAATTATTATGTAGAAGGGAAGCAACATTTCAAATTGAAAAAAAGGTAACATTCTTCCTTATTATATAATGTACTTATGGCAAGCTCTATGATTAGTTTCTTTTTTTATTAGTTGTATATTAATGGAACAAAGATGCTACACTGTAGTGTAATAATGCATACATTGTGCATTAATCAAATTAGCCCCCTCAATCTCTTTTCCTCACTTCTACTCCCCACCCCACGCCATGAATGTTTATAACAGGCTTTGGTATAGATATTAGGTTTTTTCTTTTTTGGCGCTAAGGATTGAACCCAGGGCCTCATACATGGTAATCATGAACTGGACTACACATTAGTTTTCATATCACTTGGGTAAATAACAAGGAATACAATTGCTAGATTGTATTCCTGTATGGGAAGGTCATATTTAGCTTTTCTTTGTTTCAGATTTTTTTTGGGGGGGAGGGTGGGCTTGGGGTTTGAACTCAGGGCTTTGCATTTACAAAGCA